AAACCAACCATGCTTAAAAAATTGTGCATGGGACTTTACCACATGAAAAAATATTGTGCTCAATGGAGCTTTCCCACTATTTGAGATGACTCTCCTAAGTCTTTTTAATTTACACTTAAAAAAATTGCGCCTCTTTTATACTTGCATGATGTTACAAACTTAGCTAGCTTTCTTAGTTGCATTGAGACAATGTATATGAGTACTTATATTTTTGCGGTATGGCGAAGCTGTCTTTATTTAAATTATATTGATTCTTTTTTTGAAGAATATTGATACGCCCTAGGGTTTCACAAATTCGGTTTTGCCCTAATTCCCCTCAAATGAAGAGAATAATTCTTCACAAAAAGCACAATTCCACGTAGAAGTAGATGAGAGGAACAAAACAAGATCAAAAGCAATGAATTCCCACGGTAAAATCACAAGAGTGTGCACTTTGATGATTTTCGGATTAGGACACAAACCTTCCAAAAAGATGAGGAAAATCTCTCAAAATTAGGGCACAATCACAATAAAGAGAAGGGAATCCATATAGTATTGAAAGAGAAGCAAGTTCAACACAAAAGAAAGATACAATTTGTCCACTTTGAGAAGGACAAGGTTTCCCACTACAAACCCTAGAAAACTTAGAGAAAAAAATAGAAACGGCTAAGAGAAAACCCAAATTCTGCATAACCCTAGAAATCCCCCTTTAATCCCTACTTATAGCAAGCAAAAGACCAAACAAAACCCACTAGTGGACCGCCCAAGGTGAACCGCCCAGCCTAGGGCAGACTCGAGCCAAACTGGTCCAGGATTGGACCGGTTCAGCTCAAGGCCGAACCGCCCAGCCCGCTCCGCCTCGCCCCCTGCTTCCCTTATGCTGGCTGACCTGCGCGGCTCCCTCCCCCGCCGCTTCCGCTCGCCTGGTGGTCGCCGGCCCTCCCTCTGCTGATAGGAGGCGGAACGCATCAATACTCCCTCCTTTAAAATTAACCTTGTCCTCAAGGTTAAAGAATGTAGATTCCTTGGTGGTCGGAAACCCACAAAGGCTAAGCTCACCCTGTAGTGCTACCCTCCGACCATTACTCTTGTATTTAACCAGCAACTTCTCCCAATTGACCTCCATGTCTCCTAAAGATTGAAGCCACTGCATACCCAAGACGATGTCGGCGTTTTCCAGATCAATTAGCAAAAAATCTTGAGTAATTATCTCCCCTTGCAAGATAATAGTGACTCCCTTGCATTTCCCATAAATACGGGCCTTCTGTCCTGTGCATATGATCACCTCTACCTCTTTGCTTGCTATCACCTCAAGACTCAACTGTTCCGCCACTCGATAGGCCAAGGAGTTGTGAGTGGCTCCACTGTCAAGCCTTTTTACCCCTCAAATGAAGAGAATAATTCTTCACAAAAAGCACAATTCCACGTAGAAGTAGATGAGAGGAACAAAACAAGATCAAAAGCAATGAATTCCCACGGTAAAATCACAAGAGTGTGCACTTTGATGATTTTCGGATTAGGACACAAACCTTCCAAAAAGATGAGGAAAAACTCTCAAAATTAGGGCACAACAATAAAGAGAAGGGAATCCATATAGTATTGAAAGAGAAGCAAGTTCAACACAAAAGAAAGATACAATTTGTCCACTTCGAGAAGGACAAGGTCTCCCACTACAAACCCTAGAAAACTTAGAGAAAAAAATAGAAACGGCTAAGAGAAAACCCAAATTCTGTATAACCCTAGAAATCCCCCTTAATCCCTACTTATAGCAAGCAAAAGACCAAACAAAACCCACTAGTGGGCCGCCCAAGGTGAACCGCCCAGCCTAGGGCAGACCCGAGCCAAACCGATCCAGGATTGAACCGGTTCAGCTCAAGGCCGAACCGCCCAGCCTGCTCCGCCTCGCCCCCTGCTTCCCTTCGGTTGGCCGACCTGCGCGGCTCCCTCCCCCGCCGCTTCCGCTCGCCTGGTGGTCGTCGGCCCTCCCTCTGCTGATAGGAGGCGGAACACATCATATATATTGATATATTTCCACAAATCCTCTTCATTCATTCAAATCAATTGAAGTGCACACATGTAAAATTTTCAAATTTGTCTTGTGTGATGATCCATGCAATATGGTCATACTTACTAGATAATTTCAACATTCTAGATGCATCGACTGATTTTGTTTTACATAATGAGGATGATGAGACAACTTTGATTACAATCGAGGCATTATCATTTTGTTTTATACAAAGTTGTGTCCATTGTTTGTCTTTGTGTCGTGTTTAATCAAATCGACTATGGGAACCCCCTTCTTGGTAATTTTGATCATCCAAACACTTCGACCTAGTTCATTTTGTGAAACATGCACATTTGAGTACTTTAGATTCTAAAGAAGTATTGTGAAATGGTTTCGCGTGACATTGCTTTTGTGGTCTATCATATTCAATATGTTTGCTTGAGTTGAATTGTGGGATAATTATGGAGGTCAACAGTTGTGGTTGATTGATTCTATAAGATGGATCAATTTTTTCCATGGAAAGACCATGTATTTTTTTTGCATTATTCTTCGGCCTCTATGAGATCTATACTTCTCCATGACACGTTTTGTTGGGCATTTCTAGTGCACATTGTGAAAATTTTTTGCATTACTTAAATTTTGTAGTTTGATTTCTGTCCATAAATAAATGGCCAAAAGAATGTGGTCAACTACAGTATAAGCATTTTTTTAATATTATATTGTGGATCAACATATAGGCAAGTGGGAATTATTTCAGAATTTGCTTATGTTAGTTCTCCGCATAGATCCATTGGTAAGTCCTTTGAAATTGTTTATGGTAAAAGGCCTCACATCCTACTGATCTTTTATCTTTATCTGTCAATCATGCTATTTCTTTTTTTCGCATTAAATTTGTCGAGCATACACATAAGCATGCTGATATCAAGAATCACATTGCTTCATGAATTGAAAATTCTAAGTTGGCCGCACATACTTATAAAAAATTGCTTGAATTTTATATAGAACATTATGATTTGATTTGTATTTTGCTTGACACACTTTCTAGCAATTTTGCTTAGAAACTCTATGCTCAATCTTCTCGACCTTTTAAAATCATGAAGAAGATCGGTCCCAATGCTTATTTAATTGATTTGCCTTGAAAGTCATATTAATTTTGTTTTCAATATCGGAGATCTATTGCCTTTTGAGGCAATATCAAGCATCCCGTGTTGCCCATTAATGTTGCTGCAAGTGGAGTCTCTCCTAACTGATTGCTACTTTTTTCGCTTTGATCCCTCCTTTCCCACAAGTATTGTTGAGCATATCTTCATTGATGAAATCACTACTGGCCCTATTGGACAACCACCATCTTATTGTTCAATTTCATGGACTTTCTGTTGATTCATGGATGTCTATTGAAGAGTTGCAACTTGTTTCTGCCTTTTATTGTAAGGACTACCTTGCCAAGCAATCTCCACAATATTATTCTTTCCTCTGATGGAAATGATGCAATGCATCGTCAAGAGAAAGCATCACGTCATCTATATTTGGCACATCATAAAAGTCTCACGTGCAATGCTTTTTTATTTATTTATTTTGGGACATTCAGGCCAATTAAGATAAATTCACACACACATTTCATATGCATGACTCTATGTTGCACCGATACGGATACGGCGACACGGATACGACACGATACGTGTACGGGACACATCAATTTTTAAAAATACAGGATACGGGTACGGCGCGGACACGGCATTATAATTTATAAATCATACATAAAAATTAAGAAATCAATCAAAACATAATATTTGAAATTACAAAAAAAATGTCTAGTACAACAACAAAAGCATAAACATAAATTATCTAGCACATGAAGTTTCAAATATTCAATAGAAGGAATGATATAATTATCTTCTTCATTGGTTTGTCTTTGAACTTCCATATCATCTTCAATAAATATCATAGCTTCTAATTCAGGCTCATCAAGTGAAAGATTAAAAATTTTTAATATTTTCATATCATCAAGAGACTCAAATCCATATCGGAAATGAGAGAATCTTGCTCGCAACCGCGGAAGTAAATACGACATGTCTTTTTTTCGGATTTCTTTTTGTTTTTCAACGGACACGCGTATCCGATACGCGTGTCCTTTTGAAATTAAATAGTATTTTAATTGGATACGGCTTTGGCGTATCCAACACGTATCGGTGGAATATCGGAGGCGTATCCGTGTATCGGTGTATCGGATACAGCACGCCTTCATAAATAGGTGTATCGGTGCAACATAGGCATGACTCAAATCCAAGACTTTTTTGTTGATAGCCAAAGCTCTCCCAACCAACAAACTAAGTTGAGTTGTGTCTTCTTGATTTGTTTTCTTGTATACCAAGGATGTTTTATTTAATCGATTCTTTCGTAATATAGTTCTCATTGATAATAGATCCTAAATTTAATTTATTTCTCATGGTTTCCTTTTGATTATTTTCTTTTCTTGTTCTTTCCTTTACTTGTTTAAAATCCTTTTATAGATGGAGGATGCTAATATATGTTGAAATCATCTTATGAATGTTGAAAAAAGCATGTTTGGACTCCTCTCTCTCTCTCTCTCTCTACCTACCTCCATCCCTTCGTTTATCCTCTCAGTGTATCCTGATTATGTTTTCCCTTTTCCTTCTTGTTCGGATCAAAACTCTTTATGAAACCTTGCAATATTATAGTTTTTGAAGACCCACCAAGTATGGTTACCATAGGGTAATTAAATCTTGGTTATTTTTTATTTATGGCCTGCAGGAAGTTGATGATAAGCTTGAACCATTGATGACTTTCGAAGCTTGACTTTTGGCTTGAAAAGAATTTTTTACTTTTGCTCCTTTTTTTTCATCGGATTATATCTATGATTATCATTGCATATTTATTTCTTTTTCTTCTTTCAGTCATAATGGTCTGCAATCAGTTTTAATGAAATGCTTTAGCATGTATGCGTCCTTTTAGTAATTTCCACATTTTTTAAGTACTGAAGTAAAGAATCTCACAGGTGCCTATTGATTCATGTGTGGTCGGAGTGCAGCATTCTGCATTTCTGCAGCAAGTAATATTGCGTCGAACTGTTTAAGTTTTGTTTTTTTTCTCCATTTTCTATACATATTCAGGAGTCCTATGTTTGCAGGCTTCATATATTACTGGTGGAATTTATCTAAAGCCTCCACAACTAGATGGTCTTTTTCAATATCTTGCAGTAAGTTTCTGATTTCCATTTGTGTTAACAATTATCTGAAGGATATCATACATAGCTGCAAAAATAAAGCACCATTAAATGCTGCAACAACGAACTACTGGTTTCATTTTGTTAATTGGAAATTCATTTTGAATTCAACGGTTTTCTTCGCTAAAATGTTTTGTTGTTATCTGTTCCATCTAGTTTTAGTGCATGACAGTCAACAAAATTGGACAATGAGTTAATTATATACGTAAGGGTATGGGATAATTAGCACTGCAGCTACGCTAGGAGTAACCTGAAGGATGCATTTGAATATGGAAGTTATTAGTTGAGTTGTCTCTCGTTAATTTCAGTCATCATCCCACGAATATAAATTCCGCATATCATTAAAAATGTTATTTAGCAATTGATCGCTTTCTGTTGATGACATGTCTTTTGCTTGTAAGTAAAAGTGATAACTATAAGCGGCATTATGTTAATTGGTGATTTCCTTAGAGCTTTATTTGGAATGTTGTGTTACATTTGATTCATCATACCCATTTGCTTTTTTCCCTGTACAACTTCATGTTCTTGTTATTCCCCAAAATGTTGTCATGGATGATAAATATAGGTCTTATTGGATATCTCTGCATCTTACCCTTTGATTTTATTCTTCTAATTATGGATGTTTGCATGCAGGCAGTATTTGCAACTGACTTGCAATCACGCAATTTCCTGCAACTTCCAAAACCTGCTGGCGTGGATTTTCGTGCCTCGTATGTGTACCTATGCTTTTAATTATCTAATTTTTCTTTGTTAAACCCCTTATCAATTCCTCATATGATGTCTTCTTAAATTAATTATATATCCCAAAAGTGCTGGTTGATAATCTAACTAGATTGTGATGACAAAAGGCATGGATTTGGTAGGACACGCCGGAAAAAATGAACAGGATATAACCGGTGCATAAAACACTATAATTTAATTAAGTTGCGATAAAAGTATCCAATTGCTAACTAAGCCTAAATTTAAGATTTAGGACATGAAATTTAGGAACTTTGAATGGAAGATGAGAATCAATTGGCATAATGATTAGAGGAAGAATTAATTTTTTTTTATTTTCAACTATTTAAATAGAAAGGGTTAGAATTATGGGTTGCTGGGGAAGATTAAATACTATCATATGTTGTGAGGGTTAAGAATAGGAATGTGGCAGGGATAGTTCGTGTTTAAAGAGTCCAAAGATAAAATTATTGAGGTAAATAGGGTTGGTGATAATATGACTGCTAAAAGTTAATTATTGGCACTGAATATTATAAATGTGGTTAGTATTATTGCTTCTCAAGTTGTTTTACAAAATAGTTTTTAAATATTTTTTGGAAGATATTGATGAACTATGATTTCTCATACCTAATAAAGAGATGATAATTACTGGGATGAATTGGATGATAAAATGGATATATACGTTTTAGTAGGATGGGCTATAAGATGATTCTTATTAAGTGTAATGAAAGATAGAAATGCAATGGAGAGACTATGATTAAATTTACAATAGCATATGATATTTATAATAGTGGGATAAAGGCTTGATGTTGTTGTTAATATATTGGAAGAGTAGTAGTTTTTCAAGATATTGTATTAAAATTTATGAGAGAGAAATTAGAATTCTATAGTTGAGCTAAACTTAATGTAGGACCAAAGGGATAGTTTCATTTCAATTGTTTTTGTAAAATATGAGAATTTTGAAAAAAAATCTTACAATAGGAGATTAGTGGTGAACTATGATGCACCGACACTTCTCCTCAAAGAGGCGTGCAGTGTCCGACCCGACACTCGTCCGACACTCCTCCGACACGTGTTGGACATGCCGAAAACGTGTCCGATTAAAAAAATATTAAAAACTAATTGGACACGCATGTCCGACACGCGTATCTTAAATATTTTAGAATTTTTTTTTTTAAATATAATTTCTTATGTTTGACGAGATTTAAACTAAATTTCTTATTTCCTATCCACAACACCAAATCAACGTCTGCATTTAATACCCATTCATCGAATATTTTCATTTTCATTTCTTTGGCAGTGAAGGTATTTTCATCTCCTCTCTTTTTGTACAATTATAAATCTTTCTCTTATTGAATCAGAGTTGAAAGCAGTGATATTCAATGATGATGATATTGAAGGCCAAAAACAAACCTCTAAAGCTAATCCTAGTAGTTGAAGCTTGAATGCTTGATGTTGTAGTAAGTGATTATTTGCTTATATTTTTGTGGTTGTATTAGATATTTTATACTAAATATTTTATATAAGCTAGACAAGTTATCATGTCATTCATTTATTATTGTTTGTCATTTTTAATATAATATTACATTAATATATATACAATATATAAAAAAATGTATTGCCGTGTCCGCGCCGTACCTGTGCCCTATATTTTTTAAAAAAGCCGTGTCCCGTGTCCGTGTCGTGTCGTGTTCGTGTCGCCGTGTCCGTGTCCATGCATCATAGGTGGTGAAGTAAGCAGGTAAAAATGTTATTGAGGAAAGAGTCATGTTTGTAAGATTTTGGCAAAAATATTATCAAGCTTAAAATGATTATAAGTCTAGAATTCTTTTAAATATGTAGGAAGAATGGATATGCACTAGCTGCCCATAGCTTAATGTTCACTGTATGTTTTTAAAAAATTGTATAGGATTTCCAAGCTATCTTGTAATTTTATACTATAATAATTTAGCGAACTAATTTATTTAAGTTTATTTCCTTTAATATTATATCTTCTGAAGTTGTCATTTGAATTGAAGTATATATATGTATAAACTGTAAATTTTAATTAACCTTTTTTTTTAATTTACAATTGAATTTATTTATTCAACCTTTAATCATTTATGTCAAGTTGAGGGCAAATTATTGCATCAGGTCACCGGATGCGGAAATGATTAAAGGTTGTGGCCTTACAATACAACTGATTCAATTTATTTTTTATTACTTTGATCAACCCTTGGAATGTGAGTGTACGTGTGTTAAAAAAAATATTCTGATTTAGAAGAATTTACTTGGCGTTTTTTATAACATTTTTTACATTAAAAAAATGTGAAATATATTAAACTATTGGCCACTTAGTAATTAAGATTAGATAAAATAGTATTTTATCTTGGAGCTAAAATAGGAAATTAGTTAAAGATTGATGAGATGTCAATTCTCTTTTTTAATAGTAGTATAGATTTTTATAATAGTTTAGGAAGGAGAAAAGGAAAGAGGTAAAAGATTTATAAATTTTGATTATCATTAAATATCTATTAAAGTTAAGACATCAATTAAAGATGAAATTGACATTTTGTGAAATTATTAAATGAGATTTTGGTGAAATAGATACTTTTAGAATGGTATAATGAACATACTAATGAATTATATTTTAAATCAAAAAAGGTGAAATGGGGTTAGTTCTAAAGGAGTATATAAAAGTAAAGTTTTGGGTTCAAGATGAGATGCTTTTTGATATTTGTAAAGTTATGGGTGATTTTTGTGATAAAATTTGAAATGAAGAGTATGCTAATTGATTTGATAAGTGTTAGAAGAGGGAGAGAATTATAAGGGCTACATCTTTTATTGAATTATTATTTGGCACAAACACATATGTGCTTATATATAGGCAAGAGAAGAGAATAATAAAGTAATATGTAATAAAAGAGAATATCCTCAATATTGGAGAAATGTTACAATGATAAATAATTTATATTTTTATTAATTATATATAGTTAACATATGATAATTTAGATGTGGAAACACTCCTTTATAAGCTAAAGGTGTCATAAAAGATGTCAATTTGAGATTAAAATCAGTAGTGACTAGCAATATAGTTAAATATTTTATTTCTTTGAGATTTTGAGCATCAAGGAGCATGATTGATCTATGAAAGAGATAGTATTGCGAATCAAATGCAAAGACTTTGACAAATAGAATTGTGTTGGAGATAACATTGATAAGATCCTTGAATGGAAGTATCAATAGTGTGTTGATAGAGTTATGTCAAGGAGAGTCATCATAAAGTATTGATAAAGAGTATTGATAGACATCATCAATGTATGAGAACAAAAGTCTTCCTTAGTAGTCAATGATGGGGTTGAGGATCTCATGGAAGGAGAGGCCGGTGGAGCACATATGGATCACAATCAAAGGGAAGTGTGAGAGCATGCAAATGGAGATGGAAGTTTGAGTGCAACATTGATGAGGTGTTTAGAGAAGGTTAGGAGTATTTTAGGCCGTTGATTTGATACCATTTTAAAGAGGGAGAGATATGTAATATATGTGCTTATATATATAGACAAAAAAAGAAATTTTAAAACAAAATATAATAAATAGTCATCTTCTCAATAGTGAGGAAATATTACAATAACAAATAACATAGATTCTCACTATAAATAGTTTGTAGATATAATTGTTCAAATATGATAACAAGAAGTATTTTTGTACCAATTTTCAATAAAAATGAGATCATAGGATTGCATTAATTATAAGGGAATCTTAAGATTAGAAGTTGTACAATCAAGTTATGGAGTAGAGTAATATAATATAAACTAAAATATTACGTTGATATTGGTGAATTGATTTTTTTTTTTATATATATTTGAAGAATATAGTATATAGGCAATTTTTTTGCCTAGGCAATTACTAGAAATTTATGTAGAGCAAGGAAAGGTTTTCTTTTTTGTTGATCTTGAAAGGCATATGATTTAAGTATCATACTAATTGATTTGGTGTCAGCCAAAAATGGATATTCAATTTTTATAGTAGAAAAATACATTATAGAGGCCTTTTTTTGTGCCAAGTATATTACTAGAAAAGTAATAGTAAAAAGAAAGGATCCTCATTTTTTTATCTTAAAAGGTATATTGTTTTAGTAACACGAGAATTGGTTGGTGTGTACTGGAAGATATGAAACATATTGTAGTTATTAATTATATGCACACGATAATTATTAATCTTGTAAAGAAACTAAGGAATTCCCAATGAGATCATAAGACATCAAGGATTAATCTATGTTCATATATTTTGCATTTATTATAAAGATGTTTATAACGGATATTTAAATCTTGGAATTTGATTATATGCTTTCTATAAATGTAGAAGCTATGCTGAAATAAGTAAAAAATTATAATAATTGATAGAATTTCTAAAAGGTTAATGTTTTAGGATTAGCATAATAAAGGTTGAGAATATGATATGTAATTTTAGAGGCGTGGTAATAAAAAATATTAATTAATATTACTAGAAGATAAAATAATATTATGAGTTTGAATATCTTATATTTATCATACAGAAGAATTATGTTATAGATGAGTATATAATTTTTAGAATTAAGTTTCTATTGTTAAAATAGAAAAAGTGTATTTTGAGCATTATGTTATAAAATAATATCATGTATACTAATTTTTTTTTTTGTTAAAAAAAATACTATTTTTTGGTTACAATATGTAAAATGAAAGGTAGTAAATGCATTTTTTTTATTGGTAGGTAAAATTAATATTGGACAATTGTAAACCTAAGCCAACATTGAGAGAAGTTGAAAATTTGCAATGAATATGGAGCCACACATAACATGATAGGTGTGCAAGGCCTATGCAAACACCTTAGGGAACATTTAATATAAATAAATGAAAAATGAGTCATTATAACAAACTCAAATACTTGGGGTAAAGCTGATGATTATTATGATGGTTTTAATGTAGCATTACTCTGTGAGCACTTGAGCCGACATCTATGATGCACCGACACGGACACGATATGAGACGGACACGGGACACGTCAATTTTTAAAAGTATATGACACGGGTGCGGCGTGGACACTACATTATAATTTTTTAATATAATATATAGAAATTAAGGTGACATTATAGTAAAGATAACAAGCAATCAACTGCGACATAGTAATCTTAGGACACATTTTTATTCCATGGACAAAAAATTTAAGTAGATGTGCCTTCACTCTAGAATAAGATCCTTTGTAGGTGCCACCACAATAATTGCATTTGAATGACACATTCCATCATTCAAATGTTTTTCCTAACTTTGTAACATGAATTCATAACAGCTTATCAGTTTCTACAGATAGCTCTTTTGAACCTTCACCTAATCCACTCCCGCCAGCAGCAGAGCTCATTTTGCTAACAAACCAATCATACATATGAATACATCAAATTAAATTGATATGAAGTGAAATCAAAATATCCCAATAATAAGACAACATGAATACAACAATATATTGGTCTGCTGGGGGCAATGTTTAAAATTGCGTATTCGGGTATTGAGGCGTTTTTCATTCGTGAGGCGATTACGTCGTTTTGAGGCGTAAGCCTCAAAATCAAAAGATTACGTAAATATAAAATGATAAATTTTTTATATACTAATGAGTGAATAATATAAAACATAAAAAAGCATATGATATGAAGTGAAATCAAAATATCTCAATAATAAGACAACATGAAATATAGTTCAACTCAAAATTCTATCTTTCCCAAATCCCAGTATTCTTTTCATTAACATATAATTCCATTTTCCAAAAATAAAAGCAATGACATATCACATAAGAACTCATAAGTCATCAGCACTGTCATCACTAAGGGGTTCTTCATGTGAATCATTATTATGGTGAACTGCTCTCTCCCCTTCCTCCTCTCCTATAGAGTCCAATGTCGGGCATTTACTTCAAAATTTATGTAAGTTTTAATATATATAGCGTGAGGCGTTAAGCCTCATGCCAGTGAAGCGAGACGGGCCTCAAGGCTTGCCTCAACCAAGTTGAGGCGCAAGCCTCATAAAACAAACTCAATGCGTGAGCATCGAGGCGTTTTTTATTGGAATTGCGCAAAGGCGAGCCTCATATTGCGCTATTTTAAACCATGGCTGGGTGTCCAAGGGGGCGCTGCCCCTAGAACAAAATTTTATTGTAAGCGTAATTTTGAAGTTCTGCTTGTTTTTAAAGTTCGTAAGTTGTTTGTATGGGAAGATACCGAATGATACCGAGCATGTACTTAGCAGTACTGAGCATGTACCTAGCTGTATTGAGCGGTACCGAGCATGTACCTAGCAGTACCGAGCATGTACTGAGCGGTATCGAGCACGTACTGAGCAGTACCGAGCATGTACCTAGCGATACCTCATTTAATAACCGGACACGCGTGTCCGATTTTAATTTTAATTTTTTAAATTGTGACACTCCAATGCCGTGTCGGACACGTGTCCATGCCGTGTCCGACTTGTGTCCGTGTCCGACACTGCATACCCTCTTTAAGCGGAGTGTCAGTGCATCATAGGCCGGTATGTTAGGATGATCCATCAAGTACATTCTGCTTGGCTTCATGCCGCAAATATGTCAAAAAGGTAGCTTAGAAGTTAAAGATAAATAATACTAAGGAAACTAATGAATCTTCCTCATTTTTTTGCTAAATCTTTTTTACCTCAACACAAATGGGAATTATTTTTGAATTATTGATAGATGCTACAGGTCATGTTGAATGTTCTATCAAATCCATTGTAACTGTGGTGCATTTTTTAATTATAAATTTGATGCCTTAATTGTATACTCATTGATTACAGATAAATGTATGTGTATTTTCTTGCTGCATTTAACTGCATAACAGCATTTGTTGTTTTCTTTCTGAGCTTCGAGTTCTGCAATCCTTCTAGATGCTTTTGTCACAAGAAGACCATTGACATGGGATATGTTTGCTCAGTCTGCTTGTCAATATTCTGTCAACATCAGAGGAAGTGCTCAACCTGTGGGTTAGTTCATTTAACTTCTACAACATCTTTCAATTTGAAGCATTCCATTTCTAGTATTAAGCTCAAAAGTAAATAAGGACTTCTTTTTAGTATTCCCTGTAGAAATTAAATTCAGTCTGGCTTTCGGTCATGGCCTGGTCCCGTTTTTTAGAACTTGGAAAATGTATAAAAGAGAGTTTCAAGGAACAATGTCTTGAAACTAGCACTAATTTTGCCTCTTTACACAAATCCTTGAAATCCAGGTGTATGTAAATTTATTTTCTATTAAGGTTTTATTTGGGATGACTTTCTTCCTGCTTCGTAAAACAACTTTTTAGTGTAAAAATTAAAATTTGTTTACTCGAAAGCTGTTTAAGAAGCAGAGAAAAACCATCCCAAATGAAGCCTAAATGGATCCATATTCCAGCTCCTAATATTCATCATTTTACATGATTGCTCTGACAAATACCGAACTATGTTGTTTTTATGTTGCCATGTTTTACTTGAGCAAACAAATGGCGAACTGAGGGCCTGCTTTTAACCTTAAACATAGGGCTTTTCAGCTTTTTTCTTGTTTCATATAATTAGAGTTTTCTGCCAGTCGTTGAACTGAACACTAGCAGAAGCACTCAGAAAGTTCATATCAAACTTATATGCTCAACTCTTTGATAAAGTGGTTTTTTGTTTTTAGATCTTCCCTATATATGAATATCTTTAACATGAAAAGGCAAGGTTTTTATTTCAGAAGTATTGGATGGAAAGCTAAAGAAGCAGCTTTTCCTGGTACAAAGTAGTAGAAAAGCTGAAACAAATATTGCCTATAAGTATATAATTTAGCTTTCATTGGTCTGAAACCATTGCAATTATGGCCAAAAAATATGTTCAGCCGCATTATTCTGGTTAGTAATAATATGTGAATCTTATGCCATTTTCAGGTCTGAATTCAATCAGGCTCCTCGAGAGCCTAACTCAGCTTCAGATACAATAAGGAAGGCTTAAGAATAAGACCAGAAGCCCAAATTCTTTCTGATAGAGTAGATTTTGAAGTTTTGTGGGTTATATGGGTTCTGCGTTGCTCTTTTGTTAGGTGGAGTTATAAGTAACTGATGCAAGTGATGATGCTCTCTGCTTTGTTTAGGTTGTAGTTTATGATTTCTTCGTATTTTGCTGGGGCTGTGAATAAAGCTATTTTATGCTTTTTATTGAGGTTGAACATAACTCAAAATTTATAATCTTGTTTTTTTTTTTTTATAAAAATTTATTATTGAAATTGAATTATGATCTAACCTCCTTATTTCAATAAAAGTTGATATGATTCATTAGGTGGTATTATTTAACTTTGATATGGAACTATTTGATTGGGACTGAATCTTGAAGTAAAAAAAAAAAAAACTTTATTTCAAAGTATTTGAACTTTTGTTTCAATAAATTTTAGTCAAATTGATTGGTTTGATGAGATGAATCAAATAATACTAAAAATTGATATGATTTAAGATCAAATGAATTTAAATTGTGCGCTTAGAATATAGTTGAATTTTTTTTTTGAATTTTTTATGAAAATATATTTTTTTTGTTTTTTTTTTTTCATTTTAATTTTTTTTATCAATGGATCTTCACATTTATATGCTTGAGCATCTTTGCAAGACCAATCTAGGGGTGTAAACGAGTCGAGTCGAATCGAGTTTTAGTACTTATCGAGCTCGGCTCGTTAGATAGAAAGCGAGCTCGAGCTCGAGTCGAGCTCGAACTCGAGCTCGTGTCGCTGTTAACGGGCTCGAGCTGGCTCGCCAGCCATGGGAGGGAATTTTTAAATTTAGGCGGAATTTTTAAAAAATTTTAAAATTTGGCGGGATTTTTAAAACTTAAACAAAATTTTTATAAAAATATGAAATATTTCACTTTTAAATAAAATTTAGGTGATTATTATTATAATTTTTTAATATTTAAATTTAACAAATAAATAACCCAAGCTCGTCCATTTTCATTTCTCCCGCCCGACTTTTTTTTTCCTCCCGTCCACTTTCATGAGGAGCTGTCACGTTATTTCCCAAAAGAAGAAAAAGCACCTGTCACGTGAATTCATATCAACTTTATTAAGCATCATGGCAATTGATTAATGAGCCATAGATTAATATATATTATAATATAATTTATATATTATTTTAATAAAATTTACTGTACTAGCTTCCCAATATATATTATAATATATTTTAATATTATTTTGAATAACATAGATAATCATTAACATATATTTTAATATATTATAATACATATTATATATTATTTTACTTAATAAATAATTAAC